AGAAGGAGAAGGAGAAGGAGAAGGAGAAGGAGAAGGAGAAGGAGAAGAGATTAGACTAGATAAAGACTAGAAATGAGGAAATACAGGGTCTAGATCTGTGTGGACTTAGACAAAGTATCTCACTCTCCTGTGCATCAATTTCCTCATCCTTAAGTAACAGCATTGAACTAGGTTATCTGTCATTCCCTTCAGTTCTAAGATGTCTTAGCACTCCCTGTATTTATACACATTTCCACTTCTTTCTTCTTTTGGAGGTTGGGGTTGTTTCTTCTTCTTTTGACTCATAACATTGGCTTCTATTGCTTAAGTTGAGTAAATTTGTTCAATTAGAAACTGTAGCACAGAGATAAATCCCTAGAGTACATTCATGATTTGAAGAAAAGTTAACACATTCAGTAAATCTGCATGACCAATTATAATTCCTGATACACGTGGGGATTGCATAAATTTAGGAGTAGTTCTCTATGAATAAAGATGAATCTTTCTTGATTAGATCTTATCAGAGTTGAGTTTGGGCATGTTCTTCACTTCTGTCTTTATTGATGGAAGAGGCCATATGGTCTGGTTAGAGAGACAGTTTGAAAATATTTGTTCAAAATATGCCTTTGGCATATTAGCTGAGTGACAGTGAACAAGTCACTGAATCTGACCTAACTCTCTCAGATGAAAAATTATCTGAATTGGTATGGGAAATTCTAAACTAAAAGCAAACAAAACACAATCCAAGCCTCTGTGTTTGGTCTACTATATTCAACCTTCATGTGTAATGTTAGGTGTCAAGTATTGTATTTATGGTATTCATGACTCGGGTTCAAGTGAAAAGTTTGCCTTACTATCATTTATTTCCTATTAAATGAATGGAATGAGTCATGCCAGTATTTCAACCTCCCAGTTAGTGAAAGCAATGCGTTCTGATTGATATTTGCAGGAATGTGAAAGTTGTTGAATGAATTTTTAAAAATGGTATCATAAAAATGTTTTCCCCTTTAAATCATAGAAACCACCCTTTTGGGATGCACGCTCCCCACCTTCAATAAAAGAAAAATAAACAAAGAATGGGCTTTCTCAAAACAGTTTATTTCATAGACTTTGTAGTTATTTATTAGCAATAAATATTTAAATCTCCTTATTTTAGGACATAAATAGAATTAAGAACATTGTGTATTTTTACACTAAACATGACAGTATGCCATACAAAGAAGACATTAAATGTCTATGGGATAATTAGAACATTACAGTTCTCAATACTTCAATATAAATACATAGTCAACAATGTCAAATCATTCTCATAAATAATGTTTGTGGTTAGCTCCCACAGCTCATTCTCACTCAAATCACAACCTTCTTTTAAATAGGTAAAAAAGAAATGATTCTGATAAAAGTTCAAAATATCACACTTAAATGAAATATACGGCACATGAAGGAAAAAAACTGAAATAACTGATTTTGTAAAAAGGGAAGAGAAGACAGTGTCAATTTAACAACTAGTTTCTATCACGCTTTTTAAAACAAACAAATCAAATAAATAAAAGCATTGCAATAAAGAATTTCCAGACAAATCACAGATGCTTGGCAAAGTATGGGGACTCTTCTGGCTCTTGAGACCCATATTCTCAAAATGGAGCTGCTTAGACATTGCAAGAGACCATCCTCTCTTTTGAAGCTACTAGTTGGAGCTGTTAAAAAGAAAAGGTAGTTGACATTTAATTAACAATATATAACTAGAGACATTTCCTGAGATCTTGAAGTAAACTAGAATTCTCTGGATATGGGCATAAACACAACTTGGCTGCAGCTTGGTCTACACCCTCATAGCAAAGCTAAGAAAACCCATCAAATAACCCATTTGTTTTTGTATGTATTGATTAGTACAGGCTTTCCCCCCGAAGAGATGTGTCTTGGATATTAGAAAATTTAGGTTTTTAAAGGGTGGGTAGATTTTTAAAAGACACTTGCCAATTCCATTTCACGTGTTGGCAAGTAGGCAGCCTTGCGAAGCCGATAGTGAGCTAAACTTAAAGCCAGGAAGACTTGAATTCATGCCCTGCTTGTGGCACATGCTGGCTGCGTGACCCTTGGTAAGTTACTTGACCACTCAGAGCTCTAGCCTATCTTCTGAAATCCTAAGCTGAAGAGGTGCCCACGTGCATTGGTAAAGGGAGTTTCCTCCCCTGGCAGTTCGTGGTCCCAATGAAATCGTTGGTCTAATGCCCATCACTATGGTATCGAATATAATGACAATATTGATTTGAATTTGAGGGTGGAATTGTGAAAAGAAAGAGTGCATTGAGTTCAATAGAAACTATCGATTTAGACACTTTGCCAGTCCTGAAAATAAAATCCTGACTTCACCTCTTTTAAAGGGGGGGGAGGAGTGGGAGAAGATAGTTTGGGCACCTATGCAGGTATAGCAAACTGATAATTACCTTTTCAGCACTTTCTCCACTATTTTCTTCACTTGGGGGGCCGCGGGGTTAAGGCAAAGTTGGTTTCCATTCTTCAGAGTGGCTCTGCAAAGGAGAAGAGAGAAACCATGAGGAACTGATTCCCAGGACCAGAAAGGGCTGAGTTGTTGAGGAAAGAGAGGCACTGGACCCCGCAGCTGGCTGAGCCAAACTTACATGACTTCGAGGCTGGAGCAGTGGGGACCGGCTGGGATCACCTTCAGGTTGGCGATGGACTTGTAGGCAACTCCCTGCACCGTCTGCAGACACTGGCAACGTAGCTCATTGGCCACTGGCGCTCCTGATGCCCAGAAAAGGGAGATAACTGTGAGGATCCTGCGCAGCTATGCGCCAAGCACTGCACCCCACCGGGCATTTGTCCCTGCCGGGGCACACACGGTCCCCGTCCCCACCTCCGCTGGGGCACAGCTGGAACGGCAGCCCCAGCTGCAGAGGCGACTTCCCCCAGCTCTTCCCCTAGGCTTCCCTCCCTCTCTTACCGCTAGCCAGCCGGACGGACGGCGTCAGCAGCCCGGACAGCAGCCACAGCAGGAAGAGACAAGAAATCTGGCGGACACCGCGGCTCATGGTGGAGGAGTTCGGCGCTTGGAGCTCGAAGAGGAGAGAGCGAGGGCTAGCTGTGCCGAGACTCCTTGGCTCTGTGGCTCCCCGTGCTCCACCGAGCGCTTTTATCCACTGGGCTCCAGGTCCCGAAGCGGGAAAACCGCCTGTCCGGGAAATTCCCGCTCCCCTGTGCCATGCCCTGACTCAGGAAGAAGGCACAGAGCCCGCCCCCCCGGAGGGGGGTTGGGCTGGCTGCCCGCCAGCCCTCCCAGCCCAGGCTCGGGCTCCAGGGCGCGCCTGCTCCGCTTTGGGCGAGCGAGGCGCACCGGGGTGACCCATGTAGAGGGAGAACGTAGCCGTCTGAATGGCATCTCTCGGCCTGGACGAGAGCCAAAGGCGTGGGGGTCCTGGGGATGGCAAGTGGGAGCTGGGATGGCTTCACCGTGCTCGGGGGGCGGTAGCCACGGCTCGTCCACTTTCCCCGGGAAGCGTATTGGTATTCGCTCCCGAATCTGTAGACGGGCGGCGAGAAGAGGAGGCAGGCACGAAATTCTCCGGGGGCCAGAAGCATTCCGCAGCTGCTTGGTGCTGCAGTGGTCTGTGCCAGCTTGTCTGGGTGCTTCGTAGAGGTCTTCGTGTGCACTAAACTCAGGGTTAATAATCCAGACAGTGCTGCCTAGAATTACAGGCAGAAAATCGGGCTTGGGATTTACACCGTAGTTGCAAAAAGAGACTCATCTGGCGTGTGACCGACCAATAAACCACAAAAACGAGGAGAGGGCACAAACATTTATTAAATACCTACTGTGTGCCAGGCACTATACTAAGCTCTTTACTAACTTCTCATTGGATCCTCACAACCCTGGGAGGAAGGGGCTTTTATTACCCCCATTTTACCGTTGAAGAAACTGAGTCACAGAGGTGAAGTGACTTGCCCGGGGTCGCTTTGTAGTGATTGTCTGGGTAGTAGTTGTCTGGGGTTGGATTTGAATTAAGTTTTCCTGACTCCGGATTCAGGTGCTGTATCCATTATTAAGTGCCTGCTGTGAGCCAGTACACAAGGATGAAAATGACAGTCCCTGCTCCCTAGGAGATGACATGTATGTGCTTTGTGACCGAGTCTTTCAGAGGGAATTTAAAATTATATAGTATTTCTAGGTCTTTATCCATGTAAGGCTTCTAGGAGTCTGAGGTTATAGGAAAGTTTATGTTTTAAGTGTATAACTAAGGAATTTACATAGATATGCCATCTAACATGGTTCATACGTTTCTCTGAATGTCTTTATTACTTTGTCTCTGCTTCTCTCTGTCTATCTGTCTGTCTCTATATATGTATGTATGTATGTGTATATTTATATATCTTCTATGTCTCCATCTCTCTGTCTGCCTTTGTATGTCTCTGTCCCTCTCAGTCTCTCTATCTCTCTTTATGTCTCACTGTCTGTTTCTCTATCTCTATTTGTGTCTGTCGCTCTGTCTCCTCTCCTCAGTCTCTCTCTGTCTCCCTATCTTCTCTCTCTCTGTCACTGTCTCTCTGTTTCTCTTTCTGTCTCTGTGTCTCTATGTCTGTCTGTCTCCCTCTCTCTGGCTCCCTGAGTAGGAAAAAGAACAGGGATATTTTCAAAATGAAGATGAGATAGAAACAAATGAAATATATACACATTTTATACACATAGGGATCGAAGACGTTACTTATCCACTTTGAAATCCTATAGCACAAGGTGATGGCGCTGAGTTCATTGTTTATTTTAAGGTTAATGTTGTAATATGATCTCTTTGCTGCAGAGCTTCCTCTCTGAAAAAGTGGAATTTCCAGCATCGGAGCTGGGGCCAAAGTTGTCTTAGGAATGTACAGAAGAACTGAGTTGATATTTTACAATGATTACAGACCTTCTGACCTAAAAACTAGAAGTACCATATTTCAGTAAATAGGATTATATGAAATATATTGCCATGCTGTCACATACTTCATTAGTTGCTAAGGAGGTGGAAAGAACCTATTACTGGAAGTGGGTTTAAATCCTGCCTGCCAATGATACTCTGTACCCAGGTCACCTTGGTCAAGTGAGTTAACCTAACTGGTCTTCCATTTGATGTTCAGTCATGTTCAACTCTTTGTGACCCCATTTGTGGTTTTCTTGGCAGAAATACTGGAGTGGTTTGTTATTTCCTTCTCCAGCTCATTTTATAGATGAGGAAACAGGGTTGAGTGGGGCAGCTAGGTGGTGAAGTGGATAGACCACCGGCCCTGAAGTCAGGAGGACCTGAGTTCAAATGTGGCCTCAGATCAAACACTTGACACTTACTAGCTGTGTGACCCTGGGCGAGTCACTTAACCCCAATTGCCTTAAAAACAAATTAACAAACAGGATTGAGTGACTTGCCCAGGGTCATATAGCTAGTAAGTGTTTGAGGCCAGATTTAAATTCAGGCCTTCCTGACTCTGGGCACTGTGTTCTATCCACTAGCTTTCTTGGCTTCCTTTTACTCATCTGTAATATAAGAGGCTTGAACGAGCTGACCGCTGAGATTCCTTCCCACGTTGGAGCTGTGATTACATTCCCAGATCACTTGAGGCTATATTTTATAATTAACCTGCTCAGCACTTTTCATTTTTGTCCTTTTAGAAATAAATGCTAGAATACCTTAATTCACCAAGTGAGTTGTGTTTTCTCAAGAATGCATTGCAGAAACAAATACCCCCAAGACCATTCAGGTAAAAGAAATATCATTCCTTCTCGATTAAAAGGGCCAGCAGCAATCCTCCCTGAACTCAGGAGTTAGAAGCATGATGAGGACTTTAGAGCCAGGACTGAAGGCATATAGTGCAGCCAACTAGCCCAGCTTGGAAACCCCGAGAAGCCAGGAGGCCTGGAACTCCAGCCCCAGGAGGGTTTGAACTAGCAACTGGTATATATGCTATAGGAAATGAGCTATACTGTGAATCTAAGCTCCTGCCCCTCCACAGAGACAGAGGTGGTAAAAGGGAGGGGAGAGGAGGAGTCTGTCTCATGTTGTGGGAGGAAATTTGTATATTTATGATTACACCTCTGGAAGTAAATATTTCTTGTGAAAAGTGTTTTTTTTTTTTTAAAGAATGCACTATAGGGGGCAGCTAGGTGGCACAGTGGATAGAGCAGTAGCTCTGGAGTCAGGAGGACCTGACTTCAAATCTGACCTCAGACACTTGACACTAGCTGTGTGACCCTGGGCAAGTCACTTAAACCCAATTGCCTCGCAAACACACACACACACACACACACACACACACACACACACA